ATTGCTACTCACGTTTGCTCGCCTCCATAGAAGTTCGTACCAGGGCGTGATTGAGTTATGCAGATAGACGCTGGCTTATAGATAGACAAACAGAGAATAAGATTAGACAGAGAACAGCATGCAACTCGTCGCCAGCGAGAAAGACCTGCGGATCATGACTTCATTAAGCCTATATGGCCGATCTGTTCAACCAAATCCATTCTGTAACCTACCATCGAAAGACAAAAGTTTAGCACAGCCCGAGATTATCAAAAAATCAAGTGATTCAAAATGGCCATAGGTCTACCAGCTTCAAGGTTTAAAACTACATTCAAAACTTAAATATATAGTTCTTGAATTATTATATTATACATGGGTTCCTGACAGAAACAAGAATCCAAAAAACTGTTACTTTAACACTATACGTGCACGAGATGTCCACATATAAAATATCTTACTCTAATATTGTATATGTATTCACTCAAGAATTTAATTCTGGCGGGGATATGACAACCGTCTCAGACTTTTGTCATTTTAGCCACCCAAGCTACAGCCAGGTTTGGTAGGATCTAGTGGTATGTGAGGAAAGTACTATGATTTGAAACTCATTAGTCGTAGTCAAATACGAGCTGTGGTTTCTATTAGGTAATATAGAGGTAGGGCTTTTGCTTAAGAAAACAACAGAAGCGATTGTGATGAACGCTGGCTGTTAAGTAGGAGTTCATGCTGTATTCTTTCACAAAGTATGAACCATATGTTTTCTGATACCTGGGAAGGCCCATTTCGAATTCAATATGCCTCAATTGATGCAGAGAAGGCTTAAATAGATCTCGAGAGTGTGAGAAGGGAAATAAGAAAGGCATGGTGTCAATAGTAGATGGAGACTGGTGATCCGTTACCCTATCTATCATCCCTTGTTTCAATTATCGTCAAACGGGAACCAACCCACGTTGGTCTGACATTATTTTACGAGGCCGAGATGGAATGGATATAACCTGGAACGAGACTCTGTAAGTTTAAAGAACAAGGGCTTCTTATAAGCGGGAAAGGCTACTACCACTTTATCACCTGTTATTTCCCTATGATATGGGATTTCGATTCCACAGGGTCACAGTTGATGTCCCCGAAACAATGAACATTAGAGGGAAATTGAACCCGTTGCAATGTATTTTTTGCCATCTGTACTATACTTGACTGGTTTAAGTTGAATAAAAACTACTAGTAAGATATAGGGTTGTTATAATCTCTCTTGGTCTTGATTCTCGACTTGGCTGTAGAAATATAGTAAATAGTGAGTAGGGCATAGCTAGCACCCGTGGATGACAGGATCACTGCGATAAACATGGGTATGTAAGAGCCTAGTTAACATACAGTTTCTTATTGAGACTTATGGTATGTACACTACAATACAGTCCAAATCATTCGCTTGACCCTGATTCACCTCCCAATCCGATATGCCATATGCCATATGCACGGTTATGTAGTATCCCTTCCAGGATAAAGATCGAGAAAAAAAAACAGAAATGACACAAAAAAAAAAAAAAAAAAAAAAATCCAAAAAAAAAAAAAAAAAAAAAAAAAAAAAAAAAAAACCAAAAAAAAAAAAAAAAAAAGACGTCCATGAAAAGAACCCAAGGAGGAAAGGTACGTTTATCCTTGATGTACTTCGTAAACGGATAGAGGGGAGTAAAAATGATAAAATAGACTAGAAGACCAAAAAAAGATGAGGAGATATGATCATAACTGACTGGCCTCGGCTAGTTCGCATCGGACGCAGTCGACGTAGGCGGCCCTTCGGTCGATGACTTCAGTTTGGCTGCCTGCAGGGCTTCGGGGAGTTTGAGTGGCGCTGAGGCAGTCGATTCCAGCTTTTCTAGCTTCTCTCCCCGCAAGACCCTCTCCATCTCCTCCTTGGTCAGCGTTTCGTATTCCATCAGCGCTTTGGTGAGCAATTCCAGCTCTTGGCGTTTCTCGGTCAAAATGGCCGTAGCACGCATCCGAGCTTCCTCTACTAAACGACGGACTTCGCCTTCAATCTCTTGCTTGGTCTCGGAGGACAAACTGTCATAGTTGGTAGACAGGTCGACATTTCCGAGTTTCTTAGAATATCCGAACCGAGTGATTAATGTGAACGCAGTCTCGGTAGCTTGTTGAATATCCTGCAAATTGTTAGTTTCCTACCTATACTTAGTACAACCGACAGGGGCCATGAACTTACTGCTGAGATACCACTTGTGACCTTGTCAGGCCCGAAGATTAACTCCTCGGCGGCCTTACCACCCATAGATACATCGATGTCAGACAGATATTCGGTATAGTTCCTAGAGACCGTGTCCATTTCAGGAAGGAAGTGGGTGATACCCAAGGCCATTCCACGAGGGACGATGGTGATCTTGTACAGCGGCGTAGAGGATGGAGAAAAGTAGGAGACCAATGCGTGACCAGCTTCATGATAAGCAGTGAGGAGCTTGTCCTTATCTTGAATGACCCTGCTGCGAGCCTCCGCACCCATCATGATCTTGTCCTTAGCCCAGTCGAAGTCCCTTGCGTCAACCTTACTTTGCTTGTTTCTGCTCGCGTAGATGGCGGCCTGGTTAACAAGGTTCTCGAGATCAGCACCGGAGAAACCGGGAGTACCGCGCGCAATGACAGCAACATCGACGTCCGTGCTAATTTGCACGTCCTTCATGTGATGCCTGAGAATATCCATACGACCGCGCACATCAGGGAGACCGACAACCACCCTTCGGTCGAAACGTCCAGGTCGAGTCAAGGCTTTGTCAAGAAGTTGAGGATAGTTGGTTGCAGCGATAATAATCACTCCACTTGTTTGCGAAAATCCGTCCAGTTCCGTAAGCAACTGGTTGAGTGTCTGCTTCACATATGCCGCATCCCTTTCGTTTCTCTTGGCACCTATGGCATCTAATTCATCGATGAAGATAATGGCCGGGGCCTTGCCTCGCGCTTGGCTGAAGAGTTCACGGACACGCTTGGCACCAACACCAACATAGACTTCATCGAATTCAGAGCCGGACATGTAGAAAAATGGAACACCAGCCTCTCCTGCAACGGCACGAGCGAGGAGCGTCTTTCCGGTACCGGGAGGTCCAACAAGGAGAACACCCTTGGGAAGCTTGCCACCAAGAGAGGAGAAACGTTCAGGGTTCAACAAGAATTCAACCAGCTCCTGAAGCTCATCCTTGGCTTCGTCACATCCATGGACATCGGTGAAGCGCACAGTCTGTTGCTGAGGCTGAGCTTCGTTGCTCTGAGGACCCTTGATATTCTTCAAGACGCCAGTAGTTTCCACAAGTATCGTAACCATAACGAGAGACATGTACGTGAAAAAGCCGAAGTAAAGCAGGAACTTGACCCATCGGAATACGGCGCTTCCCAGAGACTCCTCTACCACAACGTACAGAGGGGCCTCCTTGGCACCGGTACCGCCTTGCTTTGTCGATACTCCGATTTGACCACCGTGATTCTGAGCCGCAACAGCTTGTCCAATCGCTTGAAGTTGTCCGGGACCGAGATTCGAGTTCGCCACCGGGGCCGACCCCGTGGCATCAATTCCACCAACACGCTGCAAAGCCTTGGCATAGATTGCTTCCGAAAGTGCATCACCAGCAAACATACCACTTTTGTACCGTTCAACTACAATCGCAGGCATATTGGCTCGAAGAAGGGCTTGATAGAAAGAGTTCTGGGCATTGACGCTATTGGGGTTGTTGTTCGCAGTCCTCTCCTTTTGCGCTAAAAGGCCGTGGGACGGACCTCCAAAAATACCGCGTTGCTGTTGAGACCGAGGCAGAGAAAGACGAAGACGGTTAGACAAGGGGGACATGGAAAGAGGGCGAAACGAAGGCGAGATAGACAGGCGGGTAAGAGACGGGGGAGTCCATGGCGTAGATTCTAACGAGGCATATGTCAGTGAAAAGTTTTTTGAAACGCGCGGCAAATTTTGTAAATTGCAAACCATTGATGAGGGGACGTGACTAACCATGTTGCTGAGGCTTTCTATGAATACTCCGAGATACGGTGGGAGCGGAAGTGACGAAGGTGCGCTCGAGATTCCTCCAAGGTGCATTGAGAAGTTTTAAGAACGACGGCCGGATATCCGATGTCGCAGCTGTGATGCCCTGTTTGAAAGTTAGAAGATTGAATGCGCTCATTCTGCAAGAATGTTAACAAGTGGTGCTTACAGCCTTGAAGATGGGGACCTGAAAGGCCATAGTGGACCGAGAGAGCGGCGCAGGGCCGCGGAGACGGGTTTATCCCTCGAAAATATATAAGAAAAGCAAAGACGAGACCAGACGATGTTACCGCTTAGTCGACGCAAATGCCATCACTGAACCGACGCAGATGATGGACAGGATGAAAGAGATAGATGGAGAGAGAGTGACAATGACGGCACTTTTGTGTCCAGTGGATGCGGCGAAATGAAACTTGGCGGATCCCGTTGCCACTTCGGCCGCTTTGCCTGCCCGTAGCCCTATGGCATGGATCACGTGGTATATCGACACCTGAGGTTCAATTTGGCCTCAATTATGCGGTCGGGATCTTGGGAAAGACAATGCATATCTTACTGGGCATCTTTCTGTAATAATAAAATTCACTGATAGATGGTAGTTTTTAAGCACCTATAACAAATAATACAATATGTCTACTTTACTATATACTCCGGAGCAAGTGCAAACTAAAATAGACTACTATTGTTAACCTTTCTACGTGCCTTGGGTTACGGGGCAGCGTACAGAGTAAAGGCAGCTCTGCCATTAAAAGACTGACAATGAACGCAGGTCCAGGGCAGTAGTGGGTCAGTATCTAAAATGCCATTGGCGAGGCTCACGTGGGTCCAACTGCCCAGGGGTACTTAAAGGCTACCCGGTTCCCCCATCTACAAAGAAATATTTCCAAAAAAATCCTAATACTTTCGGTCGCTTTACCATTTTGATTTTCCCTTCACACTGATGTGAACAACCATCCACTTGGTCTGGATCGATATATCTTTTATCAACAAAGCCAGTTTGGTGTAATGGTAACACATCTCTTGGGGGTGACCCACAGAGGAGCTACAGGTTCGATTCCTGGCACTGGCAGTATTCTTATCTTTTTTTTACACCGTGCAGAACCGCCGGATAAAACTTGTACCGGCCCCAGGTGACTAAACGTCACCCATGCTTATGTAAAAAAGGATGATTATTTTTGTACCGAAAGCCACGCATAAACTTTGTCTATCTATCAATAATGGAAATTTGATTCTGAATATATATGCCCACGAATCCTAACCTCAACAATCCAGATGTAGAACGTGCCCTGATACAAGTATTGTATGTACCATGTTGAAATAAAGTCTCCTTTTTGAAACCTTGGTTCAGATCGGGACCTTTATTCAAAAGATGACTAGTACATGTTCCTCTCTAGATTCTCAGAGACAGGGCTTCGTCATCTTCCAATTAGTTTCCATGTATATTACCATGAGTCTAGCCCCTTCGTGCTGAATTCACAGGTATCCCCTTTACTATTCATAAATTAAACCATTTACTATTACATCTGATCAACCTTGCCGCTCATTCACCGTACCAGGAAACCCTCTGGTGCGTTGGAACTTTTAGTGCCTAGGACAACTCGTCATCGTGGCTTCATGACCGCTTTGAGGCCCTAGAAGAATGCCTACGAAAGTCATTTTTCTCATGGGCGCCCCCACCTCACAAAGCCTGCGTTGGGACGAAGAGGGGCTTCTTACCTCACCCATATTCCCATTTCATAGCCTAGAAGCTCTTGCCGGGGATAATGGGCCAGCAACAAACACGGACTCCCCAAGGTGGAGACTACTGCAGAATTCCGAAGCCCTAGATATACCGGAAGAGAATCCCATGTTCGACAAGACTCGAGATGCTCGTTTCTTCACCACCAAGGATCTTGCAACATCTAGCAGATCATCAACAGAGCCGGATGGTTCAGCTCTCTCCCAATTCTGCGACTATTCATTCTCCATTCACGAGAGATCAGAGATTTCCGCACAAAGTCTGCAAATTGAAGATTCCATGAAAGAAAGCGGCTCATGGGCAGACAGCACTGGAACTTCTATCGCAACCTTCGAAGGGGAGGAACCGGCAGAGTTTAGGTTACAGATTCACGGGGATATCACTGATCTACAGGATATCCCGAGCGTAACATATCTGAACTCCATCGTGCCGCAGACCATGACGGTGAATCTGATCGTCGGAGTCATTACCATTCGGCCGCCACGTCGGATTGTGACCCGGCAATGGAAAACGGAGCTGGACCTGGTCGAAGTGGTTGTGGGTGATGACACCAAGACTGGGTTTGGAGTTACATTTTGGCTGCCTTCTAAAGATCACAGTGTCACTCAAGGGCACACTAATGATGCCCAAGAGTTGCGACAGACATTGGGAACGTTGCGACCCCGCGACATTGTCCTGTTGCGCATGATTGGGCTGAGCACATTCCGGGAACGGGTATACGGACAGTCTCTCAAGAAAGGCATCACCAAAATCGATCTACTCCATCGACAGCGGGTCGATGTAACGGACCCAGGTGGTATATACAGCGCCAGGAGTCTTCGAAGTATGGACCGGGATAGCGCAGCCAAGAACGATGATCCCTTACTGTTGACGAAAGTGAAAAAGGTGCGCGAGTGGAACCAAAAGTTTGTGGACATTACGACGGATCCAGCAGGCGGTGATGTAAGGAAGGCTACGAAGCGTGGACCAATTCTACCCCCGGATACGCAAGAGGATTTGTTAAGATTATAATTAGAAACAAGTTCACAGCCCTGTTTTTTTTTTATTTTTTTTGTCCTCTTTTCTTTTTGTATCAAACAGGATTCAGATACTGAATGAGAGTATCAATTATTGGTAGAGCAAAATATCCAGGAAATTGATCAGGCGATTCAGGGACGGAGAATGGCGGAATTGTAGTACTTTTTCTAGTGATGGATTTATTTCATTGTAACCTTGTCCCAGAAACAAAACTTGAAATAAAATGGAAAATCAAAATTACAACATTAAAGGCTTGTCGGGGCTGGAAGGGAAACATCCATGCATACAGCGTACATGGTATATACCTTAAATTTTGACTTTAAATTAGTAGACTCGAGCAACAAACCAAGACACTGAAATTAATACTAGAATTCCCTGTAATTATATCCATTCTGTCACTTGAGGCATTCAATCCAAAAATAAATAAAATAAAATAAAATAAAAAAAGAAAGAAAGAACAGCAACAAAGAAAGTGAGTAAGTAGGAAAGGAAAAAAAAAACTTACAGAGTTGCTTCAATCAACTTCATTAAAAGGGGCGATGGCCCCACGAAAGCACCTGATCGAAAGTGTTTCTAAACCCAAAACGTTCTAGGGTCCGGGGGCAGGACAGTTGATACAAGACGATTATTCGTCCAGAAATTATGCCTTGTGGCACATTTTTGGCTGCAAACGTGCAGTTGCTGCCAAAAGATCCAATTTTTCTGCGGTACCTGATACCTTACCATACCCCGTCCGGCATGTTTAAACCATGTGAGTTACGCAGTTAGTACATCCACCGTACGTACTACTTTCTAATTAAATGTTACTATTTCTTACTTCCTTCTCTTCTCCTCCTTGTGCTCCAACAGCCAGGTGTTCGTTATATTTGAATCTTTAATTTTCCACCTTTCCCTTCTTCTCCTATTCCTTCTTCTTCTTCTTTTGATTGAGCATCGATCTTTCAACGGCCGTTCCCTCGATCGATTGATCTTAGTTCCAAATCTTTTCATTTCTTTTTTTTTTCTTCTATATTATTTCCCCCCCTTATCCGTTCTTATTGCCTCGTGCACCAACTAAACTCCATCCCCTCGTTAATCTTCCCCTCCCCCTGATATCGGTCGCTCGTTCAACTTGAAGTCGCCACTTCTTACTTTTATCCTCCCTATCTATCTCAATCAACTTGTAAATTTATTATCAACATGAAGGGTACGTGCTTTTTTTCATTTCCTTTTTTTGTTTCAATGGGAGAGGTCTTTTGCTAACTTGGTCGTTGCAGCTCTCATTCTCGTTGGAGGTTTCGGTACCCGTCTCCGTCCTTTGGTGAGCTATAATCCCTCTTTCCCTGGAAGATTCCGAAAATATAATGCGCTTGGGAAATTGAATACTAATAGTTTTGATCGCTCATCTAGACATTGACTCTCCCTAAACCCCTGGTGGAGTTTGGAAACCGGCCCATGATCCTGCACCAGGTTGAGAACTTGGCTGCTGCCGGTGTAACGGATATTGTTTTGGCTGTTAACTATCGTCCGGATGTTATGGTTTCGACCCTTAAAAAGGTATTATTCTAACCGGCATACCAATCCTTCTCATCGATACTCATAACTGTCTCCAACAGTACGAAGAACAATACAATGTCAACATCGAGTTCTCCGTCGAGTCCGAGCCTCTGGGCACTGCCGGCCCCCTGAAATTGGCCGAGAAGATCTTGGGCAAGGACGACTCTCCATTTTTTGTCCTGAACTCCGATGTTATTTGTGATTATCCGTTCAAACAACTCGCCGAATTCCACAAGAGCCACGGTGATGAGGGAACCATCGTTGTCACAAAGGTTGACGAGCCCTCGAAATACGGTGTTGTCGTCCACAAACCCAACCATCCCTCCCGCATCGATCGCTTCGTGGAGAAGCCCGTTGAGTTCGTCGGCAACCGTATTAATGCCGGAATGTACATCTTGAACCCTAGTGTGTTGAATCGCATCGACCTCCGCCCCACCTCGATCGAGCAGGAGACCTTCCCTGCTATTTGCAATGACGGTCAACTCCACTCCTTCGATTTGGAAGGCTTCTGGATGGACGTTGGTCAGCCAAAAGACTTCCTCAGCGGTACCTGTCTCTACCTGACCTCTCTTGCCAAGCGCCATTCCAAGCTCCTGGCACCCAACTCTGAGCCCTATGTTTATGGTGGCAATGTCATGGTGGACCCCACCGCTAAAATTGGCAAGAACTGTCGCATTGGTCCCAATGTAGTTATTGGCCCTAATGTCGTGGTCGGTGATGGAGCTCGCTTGCAGCGTTGTGTGCTCCTGGAGAACAGCAAGGTCAAGGACCACGCTTGGGTCAAGTCTACCATTGTTGGATGGAACAGCTCCGTGGGCAAGTGGGCTCGTCTGGAGAACGTTACTGTGTTGGGTGACGATGTCACAATCGCCGATGAAGTCTACGTCAATGGTGGTTCGATTCTGCCCCACAAGAGCATCAAACAGAACGTTGATGGTAAGTTCTGTCCATTCTTCTCTATAGAAGGTTGTACTAATCTCTTGTCTGCTCAGTTCCTGCTATTATCATGTAAACTCCCCTCTTTATGTCGACACGCCCTCAAATACCTCGATCTACACCTCGCAACCGCCAGACGCATAGAATCGGAGTCAGCTCGTTTTTACTCCACCGGATCCTGAGCACCGTCAAGCCTGGGTCCATCGGTCAAGAGCACGACCATTTTGGAATATACGGCGGTTCCCCAACCTTCTCATCTATACTATTCACCCTATTCTTGCATAAAGATTTCAATTCATTTCCCCAACCTGCCTCGCCGAGTCAGCACGCTGATGCCTTGATGGTGAAGACGCCTGATTCGGTTTCTGCCCTTTACAGCTTTCGTAATCATGTCTATGTGTTTCTATTATGCGTGTTGCAACCAACTGATGGACTGTCTTGACCGGTCATATCTTTATTTTCACACATTCCACCTTCTATTACTTTTTTTATTTCTTCTTTTCTGACATTGTTCTGAAATTATCCAATGTCATTGTTATCTTCCATTTTGCTGCGAACACGTTCGTGCTTTCTCTTCATTGCACTGTGTCTGCTTCCTCTTAAGAATGGTGGGCAAATGGGTTAATACTCTATCGGCTTCTAATGATGTACGTGGACACGGGGTCTAAGGAATGTAAATATGGGAGGTACAATCCAGAAAAAATTTGCCATGATATCTTCTACACAATGCGTCTCATAACCAGTGACTTCCATGCTCATATGAATCCAAATTAAAAATTAACCTATGTAAGATGTGGTATCTAGTAGAATACAGAATACAATGATGATGCTCAACCGTCCGA